ATTTAAAAATTGTTAAAGTTGAAATTTATAATAAAAATATAGTAAGTGGACTCAAACTTTTGGAAGCAACTGTATATAGAAATATATAGTTTGTATGAGATGATTGATGTATGTCAAAAGGATTTCATTATTTAAGATATTAAATTAATTCTTAATAAAAATACTTACATTTAATATCAGTTGTGATTTAAAAAAAAAAAAAAAAAAAAAAATTTTTATTACAGAAAACCTCCATAACAATTTATTTTAAAGGTAAAGAGGTTTTCAAATATTTCATATTTAATTTTTTTTTTTTTAAAAAAAAACTTTTTTACTATTAGTAATAAAGATATTATCTTAATTATCAAAAGTCAAAATTTTAATCAAAAAGAATTGTAAATAAAAAAAAGAGATATAGTAATGATTTTTGAAGGTACTTTTCAAATTGTTTTAAGGAGAATGGTAAGACTTTATTAGCTAAGAAGTTCAAAAACTTTCTGCAAACTGTGTTTAAATATATACAGTATATATTATATATATAAAGTAACCTATACTGGCACGTGATCACAAATATGATTTATAATGATCGAAAGAGGAAATAGAAGGTTTTCGTTAAGAATATGTCAAGTAAATCCGTCGCAAAATTTCCTAAGAAAACAAGAACGAAACGTTCAGGGAGATGTAAAAATTCAACAAAAACTAAGGTCATCATTCGTCGTTTGCCTCCTTTATTACCAGAAAATCTATTTTTGGATTCCGTTAAACAATGGGCTAATGAAGAAACCACAGACTATTATCGGTTCCACCAAGGAAGGATAAGTAAAAGGTACAAGCCGCTTCGAAATGCCATGCAAAATTCAATCAGACATTGATGATTCAATTTTGTTATAACATGTATAGCAAGAACAAAGAAAGTATTTTTTCCCGCGCATATTTTCATTTCAAAACTGTTGAACAAGTCTTGGAATTTCATCGTGCTTATGATAATCATTTATTTATTGACAAGCATGGTATAAATAAAATTCAGTTAAAGTACTTAATTCGTTTTTGATTAAGTGCTCACCAACTTTTATTTCAGGTGTAGAAAATAGAGCTGTGGTAGAATTTGCCATATACCAAAAATTACCAAAAGAACATAAGAAACTCGATCCGAGACAAGGAACTATTGAAACTGGTTGGTTTTGCAAATGAAATTGAGCAATTTATAAATCAGCTCCATAAATATATAATTAAATATCCTAGATCCGGATTACCTTGCGTTCCTCGAATCTTTGAAAGCTGAAGAATCTCAACAAGCCAATTCTAAAGAACCAGGTGCTGCATTAGAAGGTGGAGCCACACAATTAGAAAGATTGGAGACTCGATTATCAATGGCTGCTGGTTAGTGCGCTTAATACTAATTGATTTAGTGCGTTTCTTTGTTTATAAAATTTTTTTTTCGGTTAATAGCAAGTTCGGCTTCTAACGCGGCTGAAAAGCCGACATCAACGCCTCTCCTTGACCATTTACGTGCTCAAAAATCGAATGCAAAGTCGAAGTCGCCACCACCCAAACAATTGGCTATTCTTTCTCCACCTGGATCGCCTGCAAAGGTATCCGGACCTAAAGCCAAGCAAACTCGAGCGGCACAAACTTCAGACGTCGTATCGTCTGTTTCCAGTTCTAATAAGCCCGCTAAGAAAGAACGTGAGCGCAGAAAACGAGAGCGAGAGAAGGAGAAGAAAGAAAGGAAAGAAAAAGATAAAGATAAACCTAAGAGTAAAGAGGTGGGAAAATCTAATGACGTTGAGGTGGGCCGGGAGGAGGGTATGGAAGAAAATGAGCAAGAAAAGAATAAAGAATTATCAGATCAAAATAAGGACAAGGAGAGTTATCGTGAAAGAACGCGAGAAAAGAAAAGGGAAAGAGAGAGACAGAGGGCGAAAGAGAGAGAAAGACAAAAAGCCCAAGTGGAGGCGGCCAAAGCCGAATCTCCGGTGATTACTATTTTAACCAAATCGCAGTCACCTGAAGACGTAAAATTCGACACAAAAGAAAAGGAGTCGAAAAGAGGTGCACCAGTCAAGATTACAATTCAGCAACGTCAAAAGGATCAAATTCGTCAAATAATTCAACGCCCTACAACCCCTTCTGTCAAGAAAGATGTCGACGCAGCAGATAAACCTACAGAAGTATCTGCTAAAGAATCAATAATTACACCATCAGAAAGTTCACCTGAAGTTGTTGACGCACCCAGCTCAGCTCCTAAGGAGCATGCACATAACCGTCGTCGTGAGAGAGATCGAAACAGAAAGCAGAGCGCCAGTGTTAAGCAACCCGTTCAGATTCAAATATTAACAAAGTCTCAATCGAAAGATATCTCCGCAGAAGATAACACGAGCATTTCTAATGAGCCTCCATCAGCAGTTTCAGCACCACCCGATTCCGAGGCTACCGGTCAATCCAATAGTTCAAACACACAGCCATCACAGGTAACCAATAATATGCCACCCCCGTCGCGAAGGAACGGGAGAGGTTATTTTTCAAAACGAGGTAGATGGTAAACCGACGTCCGAAGCCTATCAACAAGTGTGTGATTCGGTTTGTTATTTTTATGCGACGTTGCTTATAAGACCCAGGGAGAGGATTTTTTTTAGTGACCCGCGAACATTAAATATTACTCGGCAAGGAATCGTCATCAGTCGAAATTCTAGATCCAGTAAATCAATACGGTCCTATTATGGACATTGTTCGCATAAAAGCTGGCGTGTCAGCGAAATAAAAAGATTACCGATAAAACGCGATGGACTCAACTCTGCTTTATTCGTGTTGATTGAGAATTTACTTTTGCAAGACGAAGTTGATTCACTTCACCGGATATTTTTAATGTATGAATAGATCCTATATTTAAAATTACAATCTCGAAGAGTGCGTCCTCTAAAGTAGAAGACGGAAAGGAAACTTGTAAGCGCCCTTGGTTGTACCCGGTGATCGGAGAAAGCCTCAATGATTACTTGATATCACTATTTTTCTTTCTTTACATTATGTTATTACAATTATTTTTATTATATAAGAGAACGGAAGCTTATATACTAAAGAAGTTCTATTTATATTTTATCAAGTACATGAAAAAAAAAGATAAAGAAATAAAATAAAATTATTTCGTTTAAAAACAAATCCATCTTAATATAAGATTGATCAAGAAAAAAACATTATAAATATAAATTTGATTTTACTTTTTTTTTTTTTTATGAAGGGGAGCAATAATTCAAAAAGTGATAATCGCTTTGTTAATAGAAATAAATAAATAGTAAATGGGAAATCTACTTGGTTTTTCGAGAAAAGGAATGTGTATTATATACGTATATAATATATATATATAAAGAAGACATCCACCATTTTCCATTTATATGCCAATACTTTAACCTATCGCCTTTTTCAAATCATTCCACTTACGTTTTAATACTTCCCTTTCGTTCTCGCTTTCGGCATATCTCATTTTACTTTCAATTAACATATTCTCTAAATTTGCCACTTGATCCTCCAACTTATTGTTAATTTCTACCAACTTTACGTTCTTTTGTGCCAGTGAATTCATTTCGTCCCTTAACTGATTTTCCAGGTTCTTACGTAAATTTGCAACAGTAGAGCGTAATTCATCATTTTCATCCTTGATCCGAGCAAGTTCGACTTTCGTGTTTACAAGTTCATTGGCCAACTCAACATGTTCTCGATCAAGCTGTTGTAAACTGCCTTCTAAACTTTTAACATGATTGGTCAAGTGTTGGTTAGTCGCCTTCAGTCTTTCCATCAACTCGGCTTCCGTCATCAATCGCCTTTTTTCTGCTTCTTGATGTGCATAATACTCTTGTTGATATTTATTGAGCTTCTTGGTGGTAATCCTGATGTTATACGCGTCCAGAACAAATTCATTGGTTTTGTATTGAATGTCCGGGACCAACTGAGCCAAAACACCGGTGTGTGTGATCTCATTTAAATTAAACAATAAAAATTCTTAGAAAACCTTATCTCTAACCCCAAGAAAAATGATATCCACGCAACAAGGTGCAAAGAATGCAGAATTTACGCACCTGATAGCTTTCGAACAATCCACTTTTTAAGAACTCTAAAAGTTTCTCGAATTCCATTTCTACCAATTTTTTTTCGTTCCTCTTTAACAGTGCAATACTGAACCGAAAGATCGATTCAATTCCTTCCGTAAAGATGGTATCATATATTCGGTAAACCAAAGATAGCGGAAATTTATATGCAAATAGAGTCATAAACCACTGCGATGCGTACATCGATGAATTTATTCCTTGATCTCGAAGGTGTTGATGTACTTTCGGAAGCATCTCTTCAACTAAGCGGTCAAATTGAAATAGTCTCAATTGAAGGCCGTCCATTCCGGGCAGAAAGTGTCCTCGTATGTTGTAATACTTCATGAGTCTGACAAGCACACAGAATGCCTCTTCGTCAGGCATCTAAACAATCGAACAACTGTTACAATCTTATAAATCAAATCGAAAGAGGTTAGCGGATAAATGAAACATTCTTACGTTTAAAAGTAACGGCCCGACAACGAATGATATTCCCTGACAATACCCAACTTCTTTGTCATAAATGGAATACGCTTTTACGACGTTGAATAATCCTTCTTGTCCACCTTGATCTTGGAAATATTCGTGTTTTGGAAATGTACGTTTCAAATCTCTCATAATCATCTTTTCATGTGAACTGGTTCCCTTTAACAATTGTGCGTATGTCAACTCCAATTCACTATCCTTAGATTTAGACATTAATTGCCATATCATACCGCGTAATGTTTGCGGGATTCCTTTTTGAATCATCTTTGACAACTGTCGGGGTTGTGTCCTAGCAACTGTCTCATAGTCCGAAATAATTTGTCCCCAAAAATCTGTAGAACATTTAGCGTATTTAAAAGAGAGTGAAGTGCACATGTTATTGAAACATCCTGATTTATTTGCAAAATGTGGATCCATATATACATTACCCCAGTCAATGTCCTCTTCATTTGCATTTTCAGAAGCCTCATTTTGAGCACGCTCAAAACTAGCTTTTATTTCAGCAATTCCTTGAAGCGATATTCTTTTTGCTTTGGGATCCTCTTGTAACATTTGATTTTCCCTATCAAGTCTCGCCAATAATAGATCATAATTGGACCCAGTCGACATCATTGATACACTGGACATACGACGATCATCGTTTTTGGAGGAAGGTGCGGGTGAGGTCGCAGAACGTGGACTGAAAAGTGTTGAAAGAGATTTCAAAGAAGTGGGTGTTTTAGGAAATGACCAGTCATTAAAACTCCATTCCTTTTGCGGCTCCCCAACACTAAGAGATTCATCATCTAAAGATATGTCGTTCAACTCCGGATTCTCCGCAAGAGTAGCGACTGACATACGGTTATCATTACCCTTCTCATCAGTTACTTCATATTGCACTTCCTTCGCATTTATCATATCAATCGAAGAAAAGCTGGTCGATTTTGATGTGCATGAATTTGTAAAATCAACCGACTCCGTGTCGTTCTTATCACTTGGAACAACTATATCGTCGGTCTTTAAGTTTTCTGACGATATTTCAGCAGATTCTTTCACAATATCAGTTATGGACTGGTTCGCAAAGTTATTTGCACAGTCTTCATCGACTTTTTCAGGGTTGTGTCCGGAGTCATTCCCCTGCGTGGCCTGAGGCGGTACTACGGATTCAGCGAACATATCGTTCTCCACGTCCTTTTCGTCATACGAAGTATCACTTGCGCGATCTGAAACATTGCTACGATCTTTGACCGAACCATCGGTGTGAAATGAATCCGTGCTGGAAGCACTGCTTTTATTATCGTGACGGGTTTTTTCATCTACCACTTCAAATGCGTCATCTTCATAAGTAGAAGAGGACTCTGAAGAAATCTGCTCGTTTCTTTCTTCGTATGATTCAGGAAACTCTACATTTTTTTCCGCCCGAGATGAAAAACTCTGAGGCGTCTCTTGTTCAACTACAATACCGTCGTTATGAATATCCGGATCATCGGGACCTTCATAATTTGAGACATAGTCGTTAAAGTTATAGGAATCTTCCTTGCTTGCATCAGAACCTGCGTCATCAGTCAAGTGGCTTGCTTCTAAAGTGGAAGGTGCCTCAACAGAGAACTCCTTTTCAACCACTGCTTCCATTTTTTTTAATTCAAATTTTATCTAAAGTAGGTGTCTTAATGTTTGAAATTTTAATCCCGAATCGCTATTAAAGTTTATATCAAAATAGTATCTCGTTGGTGACCTATGCTCATGTTCATTACTAACGAAGTAAGATTTCCTAGGAAATGATGGAGACAGGTTGGATATAAAAGACTGTGTATGTGTTAAAATGGTAAATAAACAAAAAAAGGATAGCGTGAGAGGGAAATATTAATAGTAAATCGAGTTATAAAGGTGTATTGTATAAAGTTACAAGACTAACAAGTAATTTCAGGTGTGTAACACACCCCGAACGTTGCAAATTAATGCAATTTGAATTGGTCACAGAATTAAAGATTATTATAGTAATGCATGCCAAATTAATGGTTACAATTATTGGAAAAGTAATATAAACTATTGCTATTAGTAAATAAGATATTTACAGGGGTATCATGAAAATAATGAAAATTTAAGAATACAGTAGTTAAATTAATTAATATTTGTATGCTTTTTAAATAATAATATAACATAAAATATAATTATAATTAATTTATTTTATTGATTCGACTCTAAATATAATTTAAAAGTAATTTGTTTTTTTATTTATAGTATATTATTATTTACAGATTACTATTGCAAATACTCTATATAAGTTCTAAAATCTATCTATTTTATATCAATTTTTATTTAGTTATTCATTAATATTATTATTGAATAGTTTTAATTTTATTTATTGTTTAAAATTAATATATATATATGGTTGCTTTCAAAAGTTTGGGTCCATTTACTATGTTTTTATTATAAACTCTAACTTTATCAATTTTTAAATCTTTAATTATAAAATCAAAAATTATAAAATTTATATATATTATTCTTGTTTTATTTCTTATATTTTTTAAAAAAAATTTTTTATAATAATTTTCAAAGTTATATTATTATCAAATTTTTTTATTTTTTTTATTAATTATCTTATAATTTATTGTAATAACCAATTAAAATCATTCAAAAGTAAAATTTTAATTAAAAAAAAGGAAATTTTTAACAATAATAAAACTATAAAAATTTATATAAAAATTTTTTTAAAAAAATAAAACTAGTATTAAAATATAATATATATAAATTTGATAATTTTTGATTGTATATCTGCAGTAGTGACCTGTAAATAATAAAGTTAACAATTGGAAGGGTCTTTACTTGAACTGCTAATGGGCAATAATCATTTTCAAAGTTGTACTTATAGTTTTAATAATTCTTAAAATAGAGATAAGTAAGTTAAATAGAGACTTAACTTTAGTGATATATTTTTAATATAAATTATACATATGTTTAATAAAGTATATGTATATATTTAGTCTGACAAAAAATGTTTAAAAAAATAATAATAATTTTTGATTATATAATTAAGAATTTAAAAATTAATAAAATTAAATTTTATAATAAAAATATAATAAATTAATTTAAACCTTTAAAGGTAATTATATTTAATTTTTTTAAAAAAATTTTTTATTGATTTTTTTATTTTATTTTATTTTATTATTTATTTATATTCTAAATTTTATATTTTTTTTAAAAAATAATATAAAAAAATTTTTTTTTGTTAAGTTATTTATTAATTTTTAATTTAATCTTTCTTTTTTTATATTTAAATTTTTTATTTTTTATTACTATTTCTTGATTTGAAAATTATATATAAAAGTTTAACCTATTTTGATTTATTTAAAATTTTTAATTTATTATTTTATTTAATAATAATAATAATATTATTATTATTATTATTTAAAAAAATTTTTTTAAAAATATTTTTATAACTATAGTTAACTTTATTTTATATTAAAAATATATTTTATAAACAATAAAAAATAAACGATAATATAATAAAAAATCCAAAATATTTATATAATAAATATAATAATAAAAATATTAAAAAATAAATCAAAAAAGACTTATAGATCAATAATATAATAATAATATTCTTAGTTCACAATTATAGGATCTATAATTCAATATCACTCAAGGAATAAACTTTAAAAATCTTATTTTTTTAATTTAAAATATCATAATCAGATATTCTATTTAAATAAAAATTGGTTTAATACTATAGATATTAACAAATTAAGTAATGTACTTTTTTTCAAGATTTGAGTAAATAATATTTAAATGTATTGAAAGATATTTAAACTTATACTAGTTGAAAAAAAATTATTTAGTATACTGTCACTCATATAATATTTGGCAAAAAATTATTCGGTATATTACTACTCTTGTAATATTTAGCAAAAAATAAATAATTTGATAAAAAAATAACATAAATAAATTGACAACTACAAAAATTAGAATATTTTCAATTTATCAAAAAATTTATTAACAATTCATCAAATAATTTATTAACAATTTAGCAATAATTCATTAACAATTCGATAATAATTCATTAAAAGTTCATTACAAAATTATTTATTAATAATTCAATAAAAATTTGATATTAATTTATTAATAATTTGTTAAAAATTTGTCAACTTTTCATTAAAAATTCAACAACCATTCACCAAAACCATTTATTAAAAATTTATTAACTATTTATTAAAAAATTAGCAATTATTATTTATTAAAGATTCATTAAAAATTTGGCAATTATTTATCAGCAATAAAGTAAAAAATTTGATAAACTTATATATGAATTTTTTTGAATTGTTAATGAATTATTGCTAAATTG